CCTGGTAATGAACGTATGTGACATTTTACAAAAATGAATAAGCAAAAAATGGAAATAGCCAACAATGATGAAAGTGTAGCAAAGAAACAAAAAGTGATAATGTTGGAAGTAAAATTCCAATCACACATAAACAGTTATCAAAGAATTAGCTGACAACGATGATGTTGACTGCTGCCATCTGAGGGACTCTAGATAAACAGCCAGACTAACTTGAAGGCAAACTTACTAACATAAATGAAAAAAGTGGTTGTGAGAAAAGGATGAAGAGGGACCAGAAGAAATGATGCCAGCAAAAAAACTCTGCATTAGAAGAACTCTCAGAGATATTTCACAATATTGAAAGTGCAAAGAGTAAAATGTTGAAGCTGAACCAAATTTAGAAAGGAGAATGACAATTCATTAAGGCATAGAAAAATCACTCATTCCACATCACATGTTACATGACAAGAAAGCCAGCACTGTTCAAACTACTTCTGGTAACTTTTTGTACAAAGAAATAACACATTTTAATTATCAGTGTTTTTAATGTTTTAAGTTACAGAGTACTAAATAATAGTTTTGCTATTTTTTCATTTTTCTAATTTATAACCAACAATAAGAGGGATTATGGTGTTTGACAAAAAATTTTGAAGTTCTGGGGCGCCTGGGTGGCTCAGTGGGTTAAAGCCTCTGCCTTCGGCTCAGGTCATGATCCCAGGGTCCTGGGATCAAGCCCCGCATCGGGCTCTCTGCTCAGTGGGGAGCCTGCTTCCTCCTCTCTCTCTGCCTGCCTCTCTGCCTACTTGTGATCTCTGTCTGTCAAATAGATAAATAAAATCTTTAAGAAAAAAAAAAAAGCAGAGTTTCTGAAGAGACATTTAAAAAAAAAAATTGGAAGTTCTCAGAACAACTGTAACTTTTCCCATTGATTATTAAGACTAGTTTGCCAGGGGGCACCTGGATGGCTCAGCCCTTAAGCGTCTGTCTCTGGCTCAGGTCATGATCCCAGAGTCCTAGTCTCAAGCCCCATATCCAGCTCCCTGCTCAGCGGGGTGCCTGCTTCTCTTTCTCCAGCTCCCCCCACCCCCACCGTGCTTGTGTTCCCTCTCGCCCTCTCTCTCCATCATAAATAAAATCTTAAAAACAAAAAACAAAAAAGGAAAGACTACTTGGCCAGATTTTAAGTTGCATGGTCACTACCATAAAGAGTGAGGACTGCCTGTACCTATAACTTCTGCCACACCAAGGGATATATTATTTTATATATTATATATTTATATATATATTATATATTTATATATTATTTCACAATTAAGAAAACAACTCTACCTTTTCCCCTGTCCTTACAATAGGCTCAAGCAAAAAAGGAATTTGGGAAAAAAGAGAAGAGGAAGAAGAAAAGAAGATTTTGAACTGATCTTGGGTGATATTAAAAAATAAAAGGGCAAATTTTCAGGTATTTCAGTGACTCAGAACTGCTGCCACATCTGAACACGCAATTCCAGAAACTCATTTTTTTATTATTCAAAATACACAGAGCCTAATGCTAAAAGATAAGATTCTTGAATAATTATTCAATTTATCCTTTGCAATAGTATACTCTTTCATCTATCATCATCCCTTACATACAGGGACAAAATGAAAATGTGATAGAATATGGCATATAGTACCTTTAGAATCAGACCTCAACTTGAATACTATTTCCACACCACATTTTGCAACCTTAGGTTAAAAAAATTAAAGAGGGTGGCCCAGTAGATTGAGCTACAGACTCTTGATCTGATTTCGGCTTAGGTTATGATCTCAGGGTCTGAGACTGCTGAGCACCCCCCAAGCCAAGCTCAATAGGGAGTCTACTTAAGATTCTCTCTCTCTGGGCGCCTGGGTGGCTCAGTGGGTTAAGCCGCTGCCTTCGGCTCAGGTCATGATCTCAGGGTCCTGGGATCGAGTCCCACATCGGGCTCTCTGCTCAGCAGGGAACCTGCTTCCCTCTCTCTCTCTCTCTCTCTGCCTGCCTCTCCATCTACTTGTGATCTCTCTCTGTCAAATAAATAAATAAAATCTTAAAAAAAAAAAAAGATTCTCTCTCTCCCTTTCCCTTTGCCTCCCCCCACGCCCCACATGCAAGTGAGTGCTCACCCACTCTCTCTTTTGCTCTCGCTCTCTAAAATAATAAATAAATCTTTAAAAGAAAAAAAAGAATGAGAGAAGATAGATGAAGTGCTTAGCAAAGTGTGGTAATATAGTAAGCACTTAGATTTGCCTATTATCTCCATTCTTATCTTTAATATTTGTATCATTACTGTAAATATTATAACAATGATTAAACTATATTCTTTTATTATTTTATTTTATTATATTTTGCCAGTGTTTCAAGGTTCATTGTTTATGCACCACACCCAGAGCTCTATGCAATACGTGCCCTCCTTAATACCCACTACCAGGCTCACCCAATACCCCACCCCATTTGGGTTTTTTTTTTTATTAAAGAATTTATCGGGTGCCTGGGTGGCTCAGTGGGTTAAGCCTCTGCCTTCAGCTCAAGTCATGGTCTCAGGGTCCTGGGATCAGGCCCAGCATCAGGCTCTCTGCTCAGCAGGGAGCCTGTTTCCCCCTCTCTCTGCCTGCCTCTCTGCCTACTTGTGATATATCTTTCTCTCTCTCTCTGTCAAATAAATAAATAAATAAATCTTTTAAAAAAAGAATTTATGTATTTATTTGAGAGAGAGCAATATAGTGAGAGAGAAAGCATGAGCAGAGGAGAGAGGGAGAAGCAGACTGCCGGTGGACCCTGGATCACAACCTGAGTTGAAGGCAGACTCTCCAACCGAGCCACCCAGGCACCCAAAACTACATTTGTTTTAAACACACCATTATTAACCAGCGTATTTTTCAAAGATCAAGTTCTCATACTCCAAAATATGATAGATATCCACTGCCTCCTAGGTAAGAAGACTTGACCTTAACTTCCTCCCAATAATTTTCTCCAAAGGTACACGTGCAAACAACAACCAACATTCACTTACCCTCTTCTTGCACCCCAATTCCTATGTTAAAACCCTCCCTGCAGTCTGCTCAGTTTCCTCCTCGGAGAACGGTAAGACTAAAAGCCATTTCCCATTTCTCAGAGCTATCTGGCAGAACTGAAGTATCTTGCACTCTCATGGCTCACATGACTTAACTGTCAGTTTTCTCTTGATTCTAATCCTTGGTTCTAAACTAAGAGCCATTATTACCTATATCCACCCATAAATATGCAAAGGACCTAAAGGCCAATTAAAGTCAACCCCTTTTCTTTACTAAACAATTAATTCTCCATAAAATAATCATGTGAGTTAGTTGAGCAATGTCTGTTTCAACACTTTCAGGAACCTCTATGTCTCCTGAATCCATCCCATTATTCTTCGGTTTAAAAGTTTCCTTATGTTGAAGCAAAATCTCTCCCCTACCGTTAGTTTCCATCCATACACTCTAATTCCACATTCGTGAGAAATAAAGAAAGTTAAACTGCTCTATATGACAGCCCATCCAAAATTTGAAGACCCTTGAGTTTCTCTTTTCCATATTACACATTTCCAGTTCAGAAAGCATGGTTTAAAGTCTCTTCCTCTCATGGACCTTCTCAGGACCACGTATGGGCTTGCCAACATGACCTAACATCAAACTGGTAAAGCGCTTCCTTGCCAACACATGGGCTGCCAAGTAATTACACTACAAATGATCCCTTTGCCCTTATACTTCCATCACTACGTAAAAATTATTACTTTAAACCAGTAGTTCTGGATAAGTGACTCTCAGCCTAAATCATGGTTTAAAAGGAATGGTTTAAAGTCTTGAACACTACAAAGAGTTCAGGTTTTTTTGTTTTGTTTTGTTTTAATTTAGTCAATCATTGTGAAGAGAATGAGGTAGGATCAGCTAGCAGGAAACTCTTGCCTCTTTCCTAGAAAGCCAAACAAATGCCTGAGGAAAGGACCCAACAAAGGGTAGGTTAGCGAAGAAGAAGAGTTGCTTCGTGTCCTGAGAAAGTGGATCCAATTAAAAGAAGAAATAGCCCAAAAAATGCTCCGTACTTTGCCAGAGGAGATAGGTACCAGAAGAAGGATCAAACACTGTGCTCTCAAAAACACTGTGCTCTCAAAACTTAACCAAAGTAAACTGCATTTTAAAAAGTGGCAGATTTTTCCTGTGCTCCCCTAGCCTAGTGGAATAAAATCTGGCGAAATACACACACACATCCCATCCCCACCTCCGCACCCCCCACGGGGGCAACTGGGGCCTGTCAGGAGCAGCAGCTGGAGAAGGATGTTCCCCAAGTCCTCAGAAGGTGCAAGCAATGGAAGTAGTGTCTTCAGATGAACCCTAAGCCTTAGGTAGTCTTAAAGGAGGCAGAGTGGCGCAGGGTCTTGGTCCCTTGTGTTCTTGAGAGTCTGGCACCTTCCCTGGCGGGGACCGACGAGGTCCAACGAGAACAGACGAAGAGGAAGGGAAAAACCTGGGACTCTTCACGGTTGGGATAAGACTAAGCTAGGATCTGTTCCTTTCTCCTGTGCCCTTAGGCCGAAGGTGGTGGCAGCAACAGTAGGAGCAGGTGTCCCGGGCCCTCATTATAACGAGCAGTGTCCACTCTCCCAACCTCCGCTCAGGCCGCCCCAGCCTGCCCCACTCCTCCACTCCGGCAGGAATTCCCACCCAGCCCTACCCCTCAGGCCTCCCCTCAGGTCCAGCGGGGGCTCCCCACTTCTCTTCCACTCCCCCAAACTCAACGCCCCCAAACCGTCCAGACCCCGGCACCCCTCAGCCGACACACTGATTCCCCCGTCCGCTCCCCTCTTCAGCAGCGCTCCCATTCCTGCCCCCAGGCCAGGGCTCCCCACTCCACCTCCCCGGCCAGGCCTGGTGCCTCCCCTGGCGGCCAGGTCCGCCCTCCGCCTTCCTCACGCGGCGTCTCCCCTCAGACCCGCGCCCTCCCTCCCTCCCTGCCTCCCGCCTCAGGCCCGGGAGCTGGCGCCCGCACTCACAGAACTCGGCGATGTACCAGGTCACCGCGTAGTTCTCCTCGCACCAGTCCAGCGTGGACGTCGTGGGACCCCAATAGCCCTCGCGGTCCGCGGCCGGAGCCATCGCGCACGCTGCCGCCGCCACCACCCAAGCGCTCGCCACTCGCTGTACTCGGCTCCGGAGGCTCCCAGGCCGGCTCGGGCCCTTCTCGCGCGCTCACCGCACTCGCCGCCCGCACGCCCTCCCCCGAGGGGCGGGGCCGGCGCCGTCAGCGGCAGTACCCGGCGGGGAGATCCCGCCCACCGGCGCCGCCAGGCCGCCGGCGCCCGGCCGCCGCCCCGCCCACCCCGAGGACGCTGAGGTTTTCCTCCGCCCCTTTCTTCCCGGGGCGGGCCTGTGATCTGGCCGCGGGGCGACGGTTCCAGGGCTCCCTGTCCCACCCAGACACGCCCCTGGCTGTAGGTTAGGGGCTCCTTGATAACCGTGAGGCGTTTCTCTGTCTGGACGTGTCTGAGCCTTTATCCCTGTGTCTGTGCGCGTGTGGTTTGATTTTTAACGAGGGCGGGGTGGGTTGTAGCCTTCCACACGCCCTGGCTTGATAAAACCTGTGCAGAGATGCACCTTAGTATCTTCCTTGGAGGGCAGGCCTCAAGTGGAGCCCGGAAACAGATCTCTCCCAGCCCCCGGGAACTGTAGGAAATAAACAGTGATTTTCTGATAAAGGTAGAGGTAAGTGTCTCTTGGGAACAAAGGGAAAGGGCCACAACCCTGGAGCAAAAAAAAAAAAAAAAAAAAGAGGGGCGTTGAGATCCAATAAAGGAATGCAGCCAAAGCCCTAAAGCTGGTTCAGTTTCGGCTTCCAATGCGGAGGTTTCCACAGGCTACCTATAATGTTGCCCTACTCTCCAGGCACTAACAGCCTCCCCTACTCCAGCCTCAAGATTCTAACACTACACAGCGCTGCCAGAGGGGTCTCTTAAAAACACAGATGCAACCTTTCCGGCCCCTTGCGCTCAATTACTCAAATTCTTCCCTAGCTCAGAATGTGCTGGGTCCATTCCCACCTCAGCCTTTGGCCCTGCTGTTCAGGGGGAACTGCCTTCCTCTCTTCTCTATTTGGCTGACTCCCCCTGGCCCTTTAAAATCCAGCTTCCTGGGTGCCTGGGTGGCTCTCAGATGATTGAGCCTGTCTCCCTCGGACTGGGGTCATGATCCCCCATTGCCCAGCGGGAAGTCTGCTTCTGCCTGCCGCTCCCCTGGTTATGCTTGCTCTCTCTCTCAAAAATAAATAAAATCTTAAAAAAAAAAAAAAAATCCAGCTTCCTGAAGCACTTCCTAATTGTCGCCCCCAAGAGCTCCCTTGCCCTTTGTTCATACCCTCTCCAGTGATACATCTGGATAAGAAAGCTTGCTGATCATTCTTTATGGTCTAGGCACCCAGGACATGCCTGACCATTCAGTTTAAAATGAAGATCATAGTTAAGGATGATACAATTGCTATTTTCTAAAGGAACTAGTCAGTTAAGTTGCAATCACAGGTAAAAGAGAAAACAAAGGGAGATGTGCCCACAGCCTCTGGGCAAAGTGACCCTAGCTGATGATAGATGCAAAACCTTTACTTTCAGGGTGCAGAACCTAGGAATAGAGGCAGTGTGTATTAATAGATATAGTAGGATATCTGAAGATTTTCTTTGGAACAGCAGACATTGAACTTCTGCTATGTACCTGGCCCTAGGCTGGGTGCTGGAACACGCTGAAATAAATAGTAAAGATCCAAGAGGGGTAAAAGGCATTGAAGTGTGGGACAACTTCTACTTCTAAGCATTTTTAAAATCTCAGCCTCTAAAATGTTTTCTGTATGTATAATAATCATGTATATATAACTTATAAATGAATAAGTGCACATCTATTTGTATTTTCAAAGTGAACATGCAGAAATACATACTCAAAAGTGATTTGCTGGAGTTGGAGCACCTGGCTGGCTCAGTCAGTGTGACTCAGTCAGTCACAATCATGTGACTCCTGATCTTGGGATTGTGAGTTCAAGCCCCATATGCTAGGTGTAGAATTTACTTGGAAAATCTTTAAAAAAAAAAAAAAAAAAACGGGATTTGCTGACGAAATTACAATAAAAACAGCATAGAGACCACAAAAGTAGAGTATGATACCATTTTGCGTGGACTAAATAAAAAATTAGGGTGTTGTGGGGTACCTGGGTGACTCAGTTGATTAGGCAGCTGCCTTCAGCTCTGGTCATGATCCTGGGGTCCTGGATCAAACCCTGCATCTGCCTCCCTTTTCAGCGGGGAGCCTGCTTCTCCACCTCCCACTCTCTCTGCTTGTGCTCTCTCTGTCAAATAAATAAAAATTTAAAAAAAAAAAACAAAAAACTGAGGGTGTTGTGGAAAGAACCCCTGACTCAGCCAAGTGACTGAAGGCAGGAGATGAAGTCTTGACTAATTCAATACCTTGCACATTTCATCACATTTTCATCAACAGTGGAAAAAAACAAAAAAAAAAAACAAAAAACAAAACAAAAAATACCACAACCAGGACAAAATTTAGGAGAGAAAAATTCACCTGACCAAGAAAACAGGTGCACTGCCATAGTATCACTCTCAGAAAACAAAATGGATTTCATAGTACCATCAGCAAGTTCTTTCTCTCTTTCTAACAAAATTTTCCCAAGTATAAAAACAATGCATGGAAATGTAAGGGACCTTAAAAAGCCAAAACCATCTTGAAAAAGATCAAAGTTGGAGGACTCACACTTCCCAATTTCAGTACTAAAAATCTATACTAATCGAGGGAGTGTAATACTGGCATAAGGATAACATGTAGATTAATAGGAATAGAATGAAGAGTCCAGATACAAACCGTTAAGTTTTTGGTCAGTTGATTTCCAAAAAGGATGCTAAGACAATTCAATAGGAAAAAAATAGCCTTTTCAATAAATGGTGCTGTGACAATGGATATCCATATGCAAAAGAATGAAATTAGACTCCTTTTGCCACAGTAAACTAAATTAACTCAAAATGGATCATAGAGTTACATGTAAGCACTAAAACTATAGAACTCTTAGTTTACATAAAAGTAAATTTTTGTAACCTTGGGTTACGTGGTGATTTCTTATATAAAATAACAAAAGCACAAGCAACGATAGAAAAAATAGGTAACTAGGGCTTCATCAAAATTAAAAACTTTTTGTTGCAAGTAATGCCATCCAGAAAGTGGAAAGACAACTCAAAAAGGGGAAGAAATATTTATAAATGATATATCTGACAAGAGACTTGTACTCAGAATATATAAAGACCTTTTACAACTTCATAAAAACACACAAAAAAACATAAAAATGGGCAAAGCATATGGCTAGACATTTCTCCAAGGAAGAGAAATGCCAATAATCACATGAAAAGATGCTCATATTTGCCATTGGACAAGTGCAAATCAAAATCACGATGAGATGCCCCTTCACATACACTAGGGTGACTATAATCAGAAAAACAATAAAAATATTATCAAAGACAGAAAATTTGAATCCTCGTGCACTGAAGGTATGTAAAATGATATGACCACTTTGGGAAACAGTCTGGTACTTCTTCAGAATACTCAGCAGAGCTGGGCGCCTGAGTGGCTCAGTGGGTTAAAGCCTCTGCCTTCAGCTCAGGTCATGATCTCAGAGTCCCGGGATCGAGCCCCACATCGGGCTCTCTGCTCAAGCAGGGAGCAGGGAGCCTGCTTCCTCCTCTCTCTCTCTGCCTGCCTCTCTGCCTACTTGTGATCTCTGTCTCTCAGAATACTCAGCAGAGTTACCGTAGGACCTAATAATTCTACTCTTAGCTATATGCCAAGGAATTTGAAAACTTGGCAATAAAATACTATACCAGAATGTTCATAGCAGCTTTATTCATTGGAGCCAAAGAGTGCAAACTGATGAATGGATTTATAAAATATAGACTATCTGTGCAATGGAATATTATTTGACAATAAGAAGAAATGAAATACGGATGCATGATACAATATCAATGATCCTTGAAAACATTATGCTACATCAAAGAAGCCAAACGGATGCATGATACAATATCAGTGATCCTTGAAAACATTATGCTACATCAAAGAAGCCAAACACAAAAGGGTACATATTTGTATGAAACATCCAGAATAGGCAAATCTTTAGACAGTAAGTAAAGTAGATAGAAAGTAAATCAGTGGTTGGCTGAAACAGGGAATGGGAAGTGATTGCTAATATGTACAAGTTTTCTTTTGGGACAATAAAGTGTTCTAAAATTAGATGTGGTAGTGGTTGCACAACTCTGAATATGCAAAAAAAATAAAATTGTATGCTTTATTTTTTTTAAGATTTTTTTATTTTTTAAAGTAGTCTCTATACCAAACATGGGGCTCAAACTCAACCCTGAGATCAAGAGTCTCATGTTCCACTGACTGAGCCAGCCAGGTGCCCCCAAATTATATACTTTCAAATGTACAGTAAGTATTCTAAATGCTGAACAGTATAGTAGATTAATTATATCTTAATTAGACTGGGTTTTTGTTTTTTTTTTTTTAGATTTTATGTGAGAGATTGCGCACATGCGTGAGCATGGGGTGGGGTGCAGAGGCAGAGGGAGAGGCAGACTCCATACTGAGTAGAGAGCCCTACATGGGGCTCAGTCCCAGGACCCTGAGATCGTTACCCAAGTCGATGTCAGACATTTAACCAACTAAGCCACCCAGGTACTCCAATAAAGCTGTGTTTTTAAAGAAAGTAATATATTCCTATATTGGAAAGTTTAGAAAACTCTGAAAAAAATAAAGGAAATCATTCATAATCCCACCAACTAGCAATAACCATTGTTAACATGTAAGTATGTTTTTTTCCAGCATTTTATCTATGGATTTTTTTTACATGCTAGAACTAATATTGCTTTTCTATTTCATATTTCATAAGCATTTCTCATGTCATAAAAACGTCCTTGTAAACATATTAATAATTATATCATATTCAATATTATAGATATACCACAATGTACTTAAGTATCATATATCCATGTTACTATTCCCTTATTAATGAATATTTATGTTATTTCCAATTCCTGTATTTGTTTTTCAGCTAACAAATAGAGAACCCAAATTTTGGGAGCTTTCAACTAGATTCCTAGTGAAAACCCTTTTTACTAGTTCCCGAAACAAAAGAAATCCAAGCTGTAAGCCATTTTTTCCACATGAGACTTGTTGTAC